TATATCCAGTAATTCTGGTTTCTATGTGTTACTACATAGACTTAGGCAAATTTTTCATCTTCAGGAGGAAGGTCTTTCCTGCAAAACATCTGATGGTAGCTTCCAAGAAATGCCTTTTCCCGCTTTCTCTGCTTTGGTGGGATGAGTGTGTGGACTTTCCTAGCTTTAGGCAGAAAGAGAAAAAGCTCCCCTACTACTTAGATCTCATTTCCTCTATGTGTGCTTCCCATGTTGTACTATCTTAGTCAATAATCTCTTTCTCGCTCTTTTCCCCACCTTATTCCACTGCCCTATCTGTCTCTCACATCTTTCAATGTAATAAAAATGTCCACAGAGAGCAGTGTCCCAAACTGTTAATATTTAATGAGTCTGAGTCTATGTGTAAGTGCTTCATATACAGTGTGATGTGAGAGGTGCATAATGCTGTAGCTAACCCCAAATGCTATAGCTTCTCCCGAAACCCTGAAGTTTCTATGATTAAACCCCTTCCTCTGGTTTAAGGCATTTTCTCCCCCAAGGCTCTCGTAAACATGTACCTATCTTCTTAGGAAAGGCAGCTCACTGGCAACATTCCCACGGTTTGTCAGGTCCCCACCTGACACGGTGTGGCTGTAGAGTCTCTCCAGGCTGCCAAATTAGTCTGTGAAGGAGCAAGAGGTATGATGTCACGAAAAGTTCTTTTGCCCCGCAGGCTCCACCCATCAAAGGGAAGGGGCTGCAGAGGGGCTCGCCCAGAATCATCCTGTGGTGTCGGACCCTGGCAGGATTTGGTCATCGGATGGGGAGGGATGTGTAGGGGTGGACGGTCCCAAAGGGTGAGCCGGGAAACAACAAAGATACATTCAGTTTGTTGGCAGAAGGCCCTCTGTGAAAAATACCGTTTACTTTTGGCTTTAATGTCTAAACGGCAGGCTTTAGGTTTTAGGAAATTTCTATTTTCTTATAACTTGAAAGAGCATGTTTTCATTAAGTAACACTGTGCCAAAAGATGGCATTACTCAAGATGTTGAAACTAATGTGCAGACATTTCCTTGAAGAGTATGCACTTCAGATCCTTCACTTACTTTTAGCTTCCCAGGGTCGGCGGGGCCCAGCCGCAGGGCTGCAGGGTCTGCTCCCACTGGGGTGTAATTCCTTCCCCCTTCTGATTCCTCCCTCTGCACGGAAGCTCTCAGTGGCCCTGGGGCCTCCTCCCTTCTGCACAGAGCACCCCTAGGTGGTTAGTTCACTGCACCCTTCCTAATAAGACTCTTTAATCTGAAATTTTATTAGTGTGCATTTTGAATTGTACTATTATTACAATGAAGTTAATGACAAAATGTGAAGTGCAGATAGAGCACAGAATAATTAAATGAATTCAAGAGAATTCTTTTTCCAATCTTCTATAATGTTTTGCAGATCTCTGCATTAGGGTAGTTTGAGAGAAGTTTCCCCTCTTCCCTTTTTTTTCTTTTTTAAAGAAGGCAGAGTGCAGAGCGGGAAAACCATGAACTTTGGGCCCAGACCCAGGGGAGTTTGAACCGACTCTTCCTTTCGCTTGAAGTGTGGCAGGGCAAGCTTCATAACCCATCTGATTTGTGCCCACTCAGCACAGATAGAAAACTCTCTTTTGTAAGAATTAGAGGTAATTCTTTAATCCAGAGTTTGTTTTGAGAACTAAATAAGGAATATGTCAGATAACTAGTATAGTGCCTTGTCTGACATTTAGCAAAAGCTAAATGTGTTCTTATTAATATTATTAATAAAAATGACCTGATCCAAGGAAGAAAGCTAGAGATGAAAAATGTAAGCCAGGCAATAAAATATTATTCAGTGCTAAAGAGAAATGAGTTTATCAAACCATGAAAAGATGTGGAAGAAACTTTAGTGCAAATTACCATGTGAAAGAGGCCAATGTGAAAAGGCTGTATTCTGTATGATTCCAATTACAGAGCATTCTAGAAAAGGCAGAGCCGTGGAGACAGGAAAAGCTCAGTGGTTGCCAGGGCTAGGGGGCGGTGAGCCGAAGAAGAAAAGCACAGAGGATTTTTAAGACAGCGAAAAATACTCTGTGTGCAACTATAACGATGGATACTTTTTGTAATTATACTTTTGTCCATGCTCATAGAATGTACGAACCAAGAATAAACCCTAAAATAAAGTATGGTCTTCCGGTGATTATTACGTTTCAGTGTAAGCTCTACAACTTTAACACACGTGCCTCTCCAGTGAGGGGCGCTAATAATGGGGGGCTGTGCGTGTGTGGGACAAGGTAGGTGCACAGGAAATCTCCGCACTTTCTTCTGCATTGGGTTGTGAAACTAAAACTGCTCTAAAAAAATAAACAAAGTTTTAAAAAAGTTTTAAACCAGACAAGGAACAGAGAAGAAAGGAGTAAGTTAAATTCTCCGCCAGTCTGAGTTAAGGTCCCGACTTTCACGACTCGGCTGCAGCAGTGGAAGAGGTATGGGTTCTGCCCGGGGCAGGGACAGAGCAGCTTGGAAGAAGATGAGGGGAAGGGAGGGGAGTGCACAGGCTCTCAGGCAGCCACACGGTAACAGCGTCTGGTAATAGCTCGAAAATGGGAGATGCCATTATCCTAAAAGCACGCAAACAAGGAAGTGGAGACATAGTCATTGTTTTAAAGTCACTTAGTCAAAAACACTATCTTTTTTATCTGGTTATGAAAGTAGTATATGTTCATATTAAAAATTGGATTATACACAAACACACAAAGACTAAAATGAAAATCAACTATAACACAAAGAAGACCATTCATCATTTAGGAGAAGTTCTTATAGTGTTTTAAATATAAATATGTACGTGAGGTCTAGCTGGAAAAAGTCCAGCCATTCTTAATATAATGGGAACAGTTTCAGCAATGTCAATGTAACCTGGCAACCGAAGAGAGTGGACTGGAATGTGCACGTGTGAACAATGATGACTTCACTGTATTAGTCAGTGGGGGTGGTAGGTGCTGTTGAGTAAACATGTCTAGTGTGTGGACGTCACATTAAAATGATGAGCGAGCAGAGTAACAAGTCTGCATCCAATTTTGCATTGAACTTGAATATTCCTCCACAGAAACTACTTGGATGATTCAGAAGGCTGCAGCTATGGGCAACTGGTGATTGGCAGCTTCATCACAACAACATCCCCACTCATGCGTCATGTCTCATGCAGAGTGTTTTGGCAAAACATCCAATCACCTGGGCTGATTGGCTCAGCCCCTTTATAGCCCAGATTTGGTGTCCTGCGACTTCGGTTTTTCCCAAACTAAAATAATGTTTGGAAGGGAAGAGATTTCAGACCATTGATGAGATTCAGGAAAATGCAATGGGGCAGCTGATGGCAACCAGGAGAACTGAGTGAGGTCCCAAGGTGCCTACTTTGAAGGGGACTGAGGTATCATTGTCCTATGTACAATGTTTCTTGTATCTTGTATCTTTTAAAATAAATGTGTCTATTTTTCATATTACATGGCTGGATACCTTCTGAACAGGCATTATATATATATGCATATATATGTATATATATATACATGCACACACATATATACACACATGCATACATACACATTTACTTTTTTCTTCTACAAATTTGAGTTATTTTACAAAGTAGCATACTTACCTTTTCACTTAATTATATAATGTGAAGTTTGTGCTGTGTCATTAAATATTTTTCTAGAACATATTTTAAATGTATAATTAAAATTCTCACCATATAAAATATAGTGACTAAAATAACAAATCCGCATGTACCCATCACTCATATTCAACAATATCAAATTATGGCCTTTCCAAATTATGTTTCTTTTGTTTATACATTGTCAACTTCCCACCAACCCTTGGATTTTCTTGAAGCAAATCTCATACACCATGGAATTTTCTCCACAAATGTTTTAGTATGTCTTATCTCTAGAAGAAATGAAATTCTTTTAGAAATGTGTTTATAATAACATTATCACACCTAAGAATGTAGTGATAATTTCTTGACAGCATCAAATGGCTTTTAGTGTTTAGTTATAATATGACTGGTTGTCATATTTAACTGTTTATACTAGGGTCTGATTTGGGGTATGTATGATATTAGGCAAAAACCCTGTGTTTAAATTGGAGGTATTAATATGAACTCATGATCTATTTTATCTAAAACCAAAAGAGAGTTTTTAAAACTCTATACATGGATCCCTGGCTGATGTAGCTCAGTGGATTGAGCACCAGCCTGTGAACCAAAGGGTCACCAGTTCAATTCCCAGTCTAGGACACATGCCTGGGTTGCAGGCCAGGTCTCCAGTAGGGGGTGCTCAAGAGGTAACCACACATTGATGTTTCTCTCCCTTTTTTTCTCCCTCCCTTTCGTTCTCTAAAAATAAATAAATAAAATGTTTTCTAAAAAAGAGCAAATGTTTAAAAACAAAAACTCTGTACACAGAAAAGGCCTAGAAATGATGACTAACCCAGTCACAAAGAACACTTTAGTGCCAAGATTATAGACTCTAAATACCATTTTCCACTAATAGAAATAAAGGTGTCTTAGAGCAGAGGTCTCCAACCTCCCCCTTTCCATGTGTGGATGCCCTTTCATTACTGCCTGAGCTCCGTCTCCCATCTCCCTCCATTCTCCTCAGTCTGTGGAAAAATTGCCTTCCACCAAACCTGTCTCCAGTGCCAGAAAGGTTGGGGACTGTTGCCTTAGAGGAATGTCCAGATCTGGGGAAGAAGATGAACAAGATGAGTCGGGAACACCTTATACCAGAAAGCAAAGAAAACATGAAAGATCATTAGGTTGATGTCCGAAGCACTCAGGAATGTGAATAGGTTTCCTGTGGTCAACTACATGATCATATAATAAGATAACATCAATATAGATGACTGTGATAGATTGAAATGGTTCAAACCTGTGCAAATCCATGAGCTCATAATGTTATCTCCCCCTACTTCAAAGTACTCATAGACAACTTCAACAAATAGGAAACAAACTTTATTTGCATAATAAGCAACTAAAGAGGAAGCATCAAGTATTCATTTTGCCAATTCTATACAAACTGTACTTTAATATAAACAAAATAGAAAGGTTCTTCTTTATATAATATTCCAACTCATAAAGGGGAAAACAATAGTAGCCTTTATGATTCAAGGATGGCAGAGTTAGGTGGAGGCTGGAAGGTTATGGACATACTTGATTATAGGCTGGGTGTTCACACAGGTGTTCACTGGGCCCTTGTGGGGATGCCCGCGACCAGCAGCGGTGCTGGCAAGACAGCTCAGGGGCTGGAAGGGAATTCTACTGCCTGAATGGCTCTGGATTCTGTGCAAAGGAAAGAAGCGTGAGCCAGAGATCTTATTTGTACTCTTATTCCAGTCCTACGAATGTTGGGGGTGTGCCGGATTGGTCTAAAGGGTTCTCAGGATGGTCTTCCACACGCAGCGGGAGCCAGGGGAGGGCCGTGCACGGACATGCCAGGAGCTGAACGTGGATTAGGAAGATTGCTTTGGCCGCCCAAAGGAGGAAGGACTGCCGGGGGCGGGAAGGGAGGTGGGCTGCTCTGATCAGAGGCTCTCGCAATAATATAAATAAAGAGTGATGAAGCAGCTGATGTGAGGATGGGAAGGAACACAGGAAAAGTCCAACACCATTAACCTCCAGTTCTGAAGAATTACATTATTCCTCAAACATTTCCAGGTCATAAAATGACGATGGTCACTACATTCAAGAATCATTTCAAAATTTTTGGATTTCGTACCTACCTATGGCTTCAGAGGAGGAGAGTGGGGGCAGACGTGAAGGTGCTGCATCCGGGCAGAGGACCCGGTGCGGTGGCTACGGCAGAGAGTGCTCTAACAGCGGGGTGTGCCAGCCGGTAGGAGAAAGCTCGCTGTGAAATTGCCGTGATGGAGAAAAGGGCATTTTCAGCTCGGGAGATGGAAGGCCGATGGGGGCACTGTGAAATTAAGGAAGAAGGCAGGGTAGTTATTCATAGCTATTCTTCTGTTATAACTCTGAAATACCTGTGCTTAAAAATGAATAGAATGTAATCAATTTGAAATAGAAAAGCATTAAAGCTCGGAAATACGGGAACATGAGAAATGGCCTGAGTTAAATGTGTTTAAAATGGTTTTTAGGGCTTTCTTTGGTCCATATAAGTCACCTTAATGAAATATTTTAATAAAACCCTTTGAAAAAAAAGTAGTCATTTGATTTTTTTGGAAGAAAATGTCACTACTGATTCCAGACAAACTGGAGAGTTGAAGATGAGGAAAACCATTGCAGAGCTCAGAGAGACAGGCGCGCTCCCTCGGCGCGTGGGTGCCAAGGTCTGTTGTACGGAGGGTGGAGGGCGTGCCTGTCGTCAACACCCGGGCTCCCCGCCCGTCCAGAGTGAGGTTTCCCAGGTGCAGACCTTGAGATGAGCGATGTGACAAAAGCGCTTCTCTACTGAAGAGGGCGGCTGGAGGTGGTCGTCGGCCAGCCCTGCAGCGTCCGGGGGGACAGGTGTGCCAGCTGGCAGGGCAGAGCTGGGCGGGGCACCGAGGGCATCCACTCCGCCACCTAACCACCCCCACTCAGAGACACGTCCTGCATCAACAAGTGATGTGCTTTCACTGAACTCCAATCCAAAGACGGCGAGGCAGCACCGGGCAGGGGAAAGAATCCCTTTGATGGAGGGTACACACCTGGACAAAGGTTTCTCTCCCGCCAAAGCTGGGAGAATTTGGACAAGTTACTCTGCCCCCTCCGAGCTCGTTTCTTTATTCAAACATGAAAATGCCTATTTTGAGTCATAGTAGAAAATAAATATGATATATATAGAAAGTACAGTTATATCTGCATACAAGTGAATCATACATTCATTTTTTAATATTAATAGAAAAAGGTCTGGAATGCTATCCACCTAGGGTAGCTGTGAGGTACCCATGAGTGAGGGGCACTGTGGGTGGTCATAGAGAGAAATACAACAGTGTGGCAAAGACTCCACAGCCAGACTGTTCTGGGACTTGGGGAAAGTTGTTTAACCTGTCTGTGCCTCAGTTTCCTTATCGGTAGAATGAGGGTCGAAAAAACCTACCTCAGAAGTTGCTTTGAGAATTCAGTGGGCTAACACAGAAAACCATTTACAATAGTGCAGAGCATGTAGTAAGGGCATCATAACTATTAGATATTTATATTGTTTTATTTTGCTTATTTCTGCTTTCTAATTGCTCTATAGTGATTGCATATTAAAAATGTATAATACCCCCAAAGTTCTTTGTAACATATGGGCTGTTAATAACCAGCAGACATTTTAATTAATTTCTATACTAACCAGAAATCAAATAATTAAAACTGTTAAAGCAATACATCAAACAGAGCACAGTAGCCATAAGCTTTCTACTGCACTATTCAAAATAAATAAATAAAGGTTCCTAGGCCTAAGGTTCATATATTTGCAGGAGTTTGGGCTGCTTTTACCTTTATCTTGTGCTTTGCACACAACCGAACACCTGCAGTCTTGCATTGCACCCTTGCTCGTTCACAGTAACTCCGTGTGGATGCGACATCAGTATTTCAGCTGTCAGTGCTGGCGGTAACCTTGCTCAGTTGTCCAAGCTGTGCAGTGTTTTTTTTTTAAAGAGTATAAAAAGGTGACAGCTGCTGCCTTACTCACCATGGATAAACAGATACAAAATGTCTGAACCATCAGCAGCTCCTGACACACTCTGAGCCCGGTGGACAATCGTGCTCTCCTGAGACCGGGCACCTCTGCCGCAGCCTCATGCTGCCCTGGCCCCGTGCAAGCTCAGCACGTTCTCCACATACTGGTCGTTGCTTGACCAGCACTTGCCTAGGGGGTGGGTTCAAGACAGTCAGTTGCTGTTTCATCTAAAATACTCAGCTGGCTGAGCAAGTTCAATGTTGAAGAAATTTATTAATTGAATTGTTCAATTCCCTGGGAAGTTTCCTCTTACTGTTCATGAGGAATGAAGAAATGGCAGTGCACCACACACACACACACACACACACACACGCACGCACGTGCTTTAGGTCAAATTATCATCAAGAAGCCAGTTGGAGACCTCTCAAAATGGGCTGCAGCAATCACGCTTTCAGTCCAGCCACTACACTTTGTAGGTAATTGCAAGCCAGGGGCAAGCCACAAATACCACTAAATACAGATATTATCGCTCCCAACACCCACGAGTGCCGTCATAATAATGAACTACCAATATAATCTGATTCCTTGGCCACATGGCTTATACTTTGCACAAGGACTTTTAAAGGCCAGACTAAGGGAGGAGTTCTCCAGACTGTAAGATTTCTTTGGAGAATAGATGAATTCAAAAGTACAAAGTTAATTGAGGTAAAATAAAAATGGTGATGGATTTATTCTAAATTTAGAGAACAGAAAGATTTTTCTTTTTTGGTTCAGCTTTTTCCCTCCAAGGTTTCTTTCTGCCTTTTTCCAGTGAGTCTTTTAGCATAACTCTCCAGACCTAATTGGCAAACAGAAATAAATAAATCATGGGCACCCGCCCAAGCATTCTGAGGGAATTTATAGCTGGAATGTGTACATATTGATCAAAACAGGCATCCTGCCATTGTTGATGCGGACCCTGGCAGACAGACCTCAGAAAACTGAGCAAAATTATAACACCATAAATTGTAGGATCACTAAACATTTCAGCACATACCACAAATAAAGCAATACAGTTTCCACCAGTGCAAATTATTCCTGATAGAACCTCCAGTCTGTTTTGAGGCGTTAGGCATGAACATGAGCTATTAGGGAACTTGTTTTATTTCCATTTTTAAAAATCTTTCAATGAGATTTAATTTTAAAGGTAATTTCAGACCAAGTTAGGGTGGGGACCTACTAAGAAGAATGTTTTGTTAAGAAATAAAGATTTTGAAACAAATTGAAGTTTAGGCGCAAACAATAATTCTCTGGATAAAGAAGCATAAGATACAGAGTCTTCAGGAAAAAAGTGTCATTTAACATATTTTATAAATGTTCAGAGAGGGAATACAAAATGTAATACCTTCTGGATTTAAAGACATTAAACTTTTCAGGTAGTTTCATGGCATATTGAAGGAAGTGATCAACTCTGCATGGGACATAATATGGAATTTGAGCTCTAGGATGAGTAATTCAACAAGAAATACCTGTAAGAAAAAAAAGAACAAAAAATTACTTACAAGGTTATAGAGTCTGACATGAGCTGTCCAGTGTTTTTTAGTCTGTCTGAAGAGGGAGAAGTTGCACTATAAAGTATCCCAAAGACATGCGACCAATGTGTTGCTAAGTGGAAGACAATCATTGCTGATTAGAATAAGAATTAGAAACAAAATGGGAAATATTCCCTAACCTTTGCAGAAAATCATCTTGTGTGCACATTTGGAAAGTATGAACATCAAGGAATTCTGTAAGGCAACTGAGTAGGAAAAACCTAATTCTGTAGGTGGTGGTGGAGTCTCCGGTAGTCTCCTGAGTTTAAGAAATAGACTCAAGTGGAGGTGGTGGTGTGAGGCAATACCCTCATGCCCTCATCACCTCCCAAGAGCCCCACCTCCTAATACCATCACTTTGGGAGTCAAGTTTCATCGTAAGAATTTAGGAGGAGACACAATCATTCAATTTATAATATATTTGTACACTCAGTGCAGCAGATCACTTATTAGGGTAAAGTGTTATCCCACTGTAGAGACTACTGATAATAAAGTCCAAACTTTACAACATGATGTAAAAGACCTTTAACAACTGGTCTAACAAAATGCCTTTCCAGCCGCAGGTGGGTCCACCCAGGACACGGTACTTGGCGTTTCTTGAATGCATTCACATGGCTTCCTACTCCTGTTCATTTGCATATGTCATGACTCTGTCTGGGTTCTCCTGAGCCCTCTTTCCCCTACTGCACTCTTCCTCATTTTTCAGGGCTTAGATCAAAGGTTAATTATTGTGTCAAACTTCCACCAATCTTTCTCTTAACCCTCTCCCGCCCCAGCTGCCAGCCAGGGAAGAGTTACTGCCTCCTTCTGCCAGGACCCTATAGCTCAGCTCCTTCCACCTGAAATATGTACAACTCTCATACTAATTGGTTAGTTTTTTTTAACATGACTTCCCTCACTGGATCTTACTTTCTGAAATAGAAATCATGAGTTATTCATCTTTGTATACCAAAGGCTTAGGATTATTTGATACATTTGTACATGCTTTGTGAAGGTTGAATAAATGGATGAATGCATAAAATGAATGGATAGGTCAAGTTAAAGTTCTCTTCAAAGGCACTGGGCCGCCCAGGAAGCAGAAGGTTCCCTTTCCCTGTGTCCAAGCAGAGGCTGGTAGAAGGAATCCAGACATTGATATGTATGTTGTCTAGATGTGCTTTAACATGCAGGGGCAATATGTGTGTGCCCGGAGCCCCCTTTTGACTTCAAAATATCATTCACCCCCACAGTAGGACACCTTCAGTCTCTGATAGAAAGAACTGAGGTCCTCTAAGTCTGCTATTTAATTTTAGCAGAGACAAATATGCTAAAATTACTTTGCCCGCTAATTCTATTGTTCATTATCGTGGTTTTAAAATGTACACAAATCCTTTGCCATTGCTTCCTTCAAGAGATGGAGCCTAATTTCCCTCTCCTAGAATGTGGGCTGGGCTTTCAGACTCACTTCTGAAAAATAAACTCAAGCGGAGGTGGTGGTGTGAGACTTAAAGAGCCTAGAATTTTAGATCATGAAAGACACTGTGGTTTCCTCCTCGGTTGCCGATGTTCTCTTAGACTATGCGTTCAGGGGGAGGCTAGTGCCATGTGAGGACACTCAGCTCCCCACAGAGAAGCCCAAGCGGTACCAAAGCACTGAGTCCTGCCGACAGCCGTGTGATGAGCCGTCTGGGGGCAGATCCTCTCACTCAAGCCAAGGCTTCAGACGGCTGCGGCCCTAGAACATCTTGACTGCTACCTGGGGAGAGACCCTGAGCCAGACGACCCAACTAAGAAGCTTAGTTAGGGAATATACATTCCTGCCCCTCAGAACCTCCATGAGATAATAAATGTTGTTTTATACTGTTAACTTGGGGATAATTTTTTAGGCTGTTATGCTAATTTGTTAGCATATGCATTGACTTTCCTTGTTTTCAACAATTCCCAGAATATTAGAAATAGGTTCTCCTTCTTCTCTGCAGTCCTCTGGAAAAAGATAATTTCAAGGTTAAAAAAAAGTGGAAATGACATTTTCCCAGGCAGAAAGTACATGCATGGAATTCACTAACCCATCAGGTATATAATAGACTGACTGTATTCTTAAGGTTCGAGAAGGGCTTAGCTACATTTATGGATAGTATTCATTTATTGATTCATCCACTTTAAGCACCTATTCGTGTTAGTCATTATGCTTGAGAGTGGTAGAATCCTCCTTGATTATTAAGAAAAAATGACTTCTGCTTGGAGGAGGCAACTGCAGCACTCCGAGTCCGATGCACAGGCAGACATCCATGCCCCCCTTCAATCCACACCTGAGAGGCCTTCCGGGAGAGGAACGGAGGGGCGGACCAGGAGTATGGGACCAGGCAAGGATTAATTATGCCCTTGTAGTTAAGGTTTGGAAGTTGATCATTTACTGACTTCTAAATGATAACCCTGTCGTTTTTATCTCTGTAGCATCCGATAAAGTTCTCTTCACTTTAGAGACTAAGTGCGCCCTCTCCACAGAGCAGTGCAGACATGAACAGCGAAGGCGCGTACCAGTGCTGTCAAAAAGCTAGAGTCCCATCATGCTTTTTCCAGCCAGGAATTTTTAGACACTTGAACGGAATACTTGTGGCATAGATGAAAAATGAATTTCATCTAAGTTAAACAGAGTAAATGAGGAAAAAACCCCTTGAAGTTCAAAGAACTGTGTAAGAGATACTCTAAGGACTCGGATTATATCAATGCTTGTAGGATATAAGTGTTTTCATACAGTGCTATTAAGAAACCTGCAATTAAGGTGCTGGAGGTTTTTCTTAAACACACAGGCACACATACACTCGCAGGGAAATCAATCTCCTCTTATAAAAGAACAGTGGTAGGTATTCTGCACAGTGTCTGCTCCCCAGGAAGGCACGGCGCTTCTTGTGGAAGAGCAGCCCCCCTCAAGTCAAGTCAATGTCACCTGTGGAAAGATATAATTTGCTGTACTGCTGAGAGCTCAAAGGCAGCGACACCTCCACAGGAGCCTGACGCGTCGCCTACAAACCCCAAACAAAGATTATAAAAAAAACCTTGCCAGTGAGCAAGGGAAACATGCTTTCTTATATAGAGCCAAGGAGGACATTTATGTGACACTCCTGTCATCACCTAACAAGGTACACGGGCGGGCTGCTTGTCTGCATCCTCTCTGGAAGTAAGCCACCGGGCCTTTTCTAAAGGGCACCAAAGGCACCCTTAACATCTGAGCATGGCCAATGCCATGGCTAGGGCTCTCTTCCCAGTGCTGACCCACAATTAAAGTGTTTGAATGATTTAGACCCAGTGTCTCTGAGAAAGCAGTCCACACCCTGTTAAACTTTAGCAAGTGAGATTCAACCCAAAAAGATCATATGGGTAGAACCAGAATCTCGCATCACACATTTAGGACAGTGGTTCTCAAAGTGTGTTCCCTGGACCAGCAGCATTGGCAGCACCTGGAACTTGTGAGGAAGGAAAACCCCCAGCCCCATCTACTTCAGGCTTCCTGAAGTAAAGCTCTGGGCACAGGGCCCCTCGGTCTGTGTTTCAGCAAATCTTCCAGGATTCTCACGTGGGTCAGAGTTTCACAACCAGGGCCATCGAGACATGTGTCCTGACCCCATTCTGTGGCTGTTTATAGAATAACATTTATTCTATAGTTTTACATTTTATATTTTAATATATAATAGTCTATAACATTTATTCTATATTATTTACAGAATAGCAGAGGAGAAGCTACTCAGTTATTCCCAAAGGTTATAAAGCAGTTATGTTTCTGCACTTTTGGATGAGAACATATGGCTTCCTGTCTTTTCTAACTTGTTTCAGGAGCCATGGTGAGAATCCAGCAATGCCTCCCCCTGTGTAGGCTGACTAGTGCTGCGGCATGTGTGCAAACTGCATCAGCTAAACTTAACCCCGCTAAAGAGGCCTGACCTGTCATGAAGTAACGCTCTCCTCGGGGCAAGGGGCACGCAGGCAGCGTCATCTTGCACGTAGCTATCAGGTAATTGTGCTATGGCTGTGAAAGTACACCAAGGCCCACATGGAGGAAAATTTCATCCAGCAACAACCACTCCCCAATGTCACAGAAGAGCACTTGGGTTCAGGGCAGAGACAGGAAGCAGACAGAGATCCTATGGCGTCATTTCTTCCTGACATTCAAACTTCACTTAGAAAATGTGAGCTTCCTTCACAATCAAAAAGAAGGGGGACCCATGCTTTCTGCTCAAATAAAATACCCTCTTGGTTCAAGACTCTCACAGCGATTAAGTTAATGTTAGCACAATGCTTCTGGGCTTACAAATACAAAGAACTTAATGACTGCATGTGTAGTGTTATTACAAGCAACAGGAAGCAGAAATGTCAGGACATGCAAAAACCACAAATCAAATATTGCATTGTTCTCTTTGACATACTTACTCAGTTCCACAGGTGTCATTAGTCCCAGGAAGCTGACCTATAATTTCTTTAATCACAACTATCCAGTATTATAGTTCCAAAGGTAAAATTTTCTTTTCTCCTGATGTTTAGTGAGAGATTTCTACAGGCATGTTTCTTATATAGTGGTAGTCAGAAAATGAAGAAAATCTTGATTCTGAGCTCTTTTGAGGTGCCATGTACTGTGATACATACTAGTCATCTGTTTTTCATTGGGTTATTTTTTCAAGAAAAGATTCCAGAATTTCTTGTAGTGGGAATTATTATGAACATACAGGAGTACTTGTTGAGTGGCTCAGTAAAGGCAAGAAAGTGGGAGAGGACTCGAAGGGATGCTTAGTTCTCAAAAATGGCCTCCAGCCCTGGTCCTAAAAAAATTCTCAGCCACATCAAAAACATCATCATCTCACTATTCCTAGAACAGGCCTGGAAGATGAAACAGTATTTAAAACTCCTGGCTCAACTCCCACAGCAACATAACAATTTCTATAAATGCTGCTACCCAAATGCCCCAA